CCGCACAGCCCAGTGAGCTCCGTGAACCGGTTTCAGCACAGTCCCAGGAAGCGCAGAGCAAGCCCAGGACTCCTCAGTCTGCCCGATCCACGCCTCCCCTGCCTCCTGCCCTGCCCAAACCCTTCTGATGCATCTCTGCTATTTGTGTGGTATGTAGAGGGCAAAAGGCTGCCATAAATTCAGCTGGAAGCTTCGCTTGCATAGGGAAGACTCATGCAGGCACAAAGCTAATGTTACGATTTTTTTACTTTTTTTTGATCTCCAACTGGAGAAGGGTCCTCATAGTACTGTAAATATCACTGCATAATTTAGAGCGCCGCTTGGACTTCTCTAAATGTATGCTGAATGTGACCTCAGAAGCAGCCCTGGGATTGGGAAGAAACAAATAATTCTGTTTGCCCCTTTTATACTTTATTTTTGTACAGGGGCTCATAGATTTGTAATGAAAACTTGATCTTATCAGTATGCTGCCTCTCAGTCTGACTGATGCCTGTGTTTTCAAGGTGTTAAGTTGGTCCAGTAAATGTTCATTAACCTCTGCTTCCATTTACTTAATAAAAGTACACTAGGTTATTCAGTGTCTCAGAGTGGTAAGATTATTGCATGGAAATGGTAACCTAGTTTAGACAGTCCTGGCCACTGTCATGCAACCCACCGCATGCAACTATTTAAAATCAGAGGGACATTTTTAATCTCATCACCAAAACTGAATTCTTCCATATGTTTTAGCATTGGTTTTCTTTTTATTTGATTTGGGTCAAGAAAGATGCTGTGCCACTAGCCTCAGTGAAGATATCGCTGCCTACTTCAGAAACTTCATTAGCGAGGTTACTCAGTTGATTTTGAAAGGACAACGTAGACGATGAGACATTACAGCCTGAGCAGCATTGAACTGGAGTGTATCCTTCAAGAACTGGATACTAGGGCCATTAGGAAAAGTTAATTCACAGACTAACTTCAGTATTTGTTCCATTTTTATTCTTTTCTCTAAGGAAATTATTTCAGAGTGCTATTGTTTAAACAAATACTTGGAAATGCTGCCAAAGCTCACGTTGTTTTTTGCAAACCCAGACTGAAATATCAGATGCAAACAGTTCTGGTCCCATTCTCTTCCATTGCAATTAGTTCTCAACGTCTTTAATGAAGGCAGTTAGAACTCAATTTCAGGTTTTAAAATACTTGGTAGAAGAGGATTTGTGAAAACTACAGGAAAAGTACATTTATTGACTGACTTGAGGAAGAGTCATCTGTTTTTATAAACTGAATTACAGAGTATGAGCTAAAGCAGACACCACAAAAAGTCTGCTTTCTTTATGTAAAGCATATTCATTTTCTTAATAAGCCTGTCTCTCAGACTAGTTTCTTCACTACTTTTAAAGAGCTAAGAGATACCCATAACTCTTGCCAAGGAGACTGCTGCGTTATGTCAAATAGTCGCATATAAATCAAAATATTTGCACAACAGGAAATATATCGGAGACAAGCAGGGCAGAAGTAACTTCTCCTGAATGATTGTGCCTTGTGTGCATACCATGAGGATGAGTGCCCAAGCTTAATTTAGAGGAGAGTGTATTTTTTCTAATGCTACACAAAAAATACAAAGCCAGTTCCAACATTTAAATGTTTACCATGGGTTTTTTCACTTGCTGATATACACAGTTAGTGCACCTACAGTAATTTTTGCTTTCTTCCCCTTAAGTGATTTTAGCAGTCTTCTGCTCCAATCCCATGAAAGCTGGACTGAAGCAAGTACAGAAGCTCTTTGACTTCTTACGATTTAGCCTCAGAGTTAAATGCATTTAAAGCTTCTTTCCCAGAGCTATACGTTACATAAATAATTAAAACTTACCTCAGAAATATGTTTCCTATAGCTGTAACCTCAGTTAAGATTTTAGAAAGTTGATCACTTTTCATGTAGTCTTAATCTAAGAAAAGATAAAGGG